TTTTCTTTCTTTCTTTTTTTTTTTTTTTTAATATTTATTTGTTAGTTGTAGTTGGACGCCATGACTTTATTTTATCTATTTATTTTTATGTGGTGCTGAGGATGGAACCCAGGGCCTCACGTGTGCTGAGCCACGCCCTAGCCCTCCACTTACTTCTGTTGTCTTGATTGCTCTCTGACTCAGATCCTCCTGCCTCCCTCTTACAAGGGCCTCGTGATGACCTTGGACCATCCAAATAATAATTCAGGATGATCTTCCCATTTCTCCTCCTCCTCCTCCTCCTCCTTCTCCTCCTCCTCCTCCTCCTTCCTCTTCTTCTTTTGTACAGGGGTTTGAATTCAGGAACACTTTACCATTGAGCTACATCCCCAGATATTTTTTAAATTTTGAGGCAGGGTCTCACCAGATTGCCCAGGCTGGCCTCAAACTTGCACTCCTCCTCCCTCAGCCTTCTGAGTCACTCGGATGACAGGCATGTGCCACTGCACCTGGTTAATCTTCCCATTTCAAGATAACCAAGCACATCTGCAAAGTTTCTTTTACCACATGAGGAGACATTCATAGTTTCTGGGAATTAGGATGGTGGTGTACATCTCTGGGGGGGGGCATTATCTATCAACAAATATTAAATGTAGTACAACACACATGTATGTATTCACTACTATACACAGATGGTAATATTTTGCGTTATTTTCATCCCTTTTTTCCCCCCTGAAACTGGGGATGGAATCCAGGGTTTCAAACATGCTGGGCAAGCACTCAGCCAACTGAGATACACCACCAGCCCACCACATTTTTTTTTTTTTTTGGTACTTATGATTGAACTCAGGGGACTCTACCACTGAGCCTCACCCCCATCTCTATTTTGTATTTTTATTTAAAGCCCGGGTCTTACCGAGTGCTTAACACCTTGCTTTTGCTGAGGCTGTGAACTCCCAATCCTCCTGCCCCAGCCTCCTGAGGCGCTGGGATCACAGGTGTGTGCCACTGCGCCTGACCATATATATATATATATATATTTTTTTTTATTGTAGATGGACAAAATACCTTTATTTTATTTGTTTATTTTTATGTGGTGCCTGGAATCGAACTCAGTGCCTCATGCATGCTAGGCAGCGCTCTGCCACTGAGCCACAACTCCGGCCTGGCCACATTTTTTTTTTTTAATATTTAATTTTTTAGTTCTCGGCGGACACAACATCTTTGTTTGTATGTGGTGCTTAGGATCGAACCCGGGCCTCACGCATGCCAGGCGAGCGCGCTACCACTGAGCCACCTCCCCAGCCCTGTGGCCACATTTTTTTTTTTAAGTTTTTTTTTAGTTGTTGATAGACTTTTATTTTGTTTTTTTATTTTTATGTGGTGCTGAGGATCGAACCCAGTGACTCACACATGCTAGGCAAGTGACCCCAGCCACATTTTTTTTTTTTAAAGAAAGAAAGCAAGGGGCACCAGGGACTGAAATAGGGTAAATCAAGCCCCCTGCGTGTATGATTATGTCAAAGTGAACACTGGTTATGTAAAGCTGTGATGCACCCATAAACGCAGAATAAATGAAAAACAGAAAGAAGGACAGCTTTGCAGGAATAGCTAGAATCCCTCCTGCCCCAGAGGTAACCCCTCGGAGGCCGGCATGATCACCCACACGTGCTCTCCTCCTTGGCTACACAGGGCAAACACACATCTACACAGAACCTGCTATTTTGTGTTTTGAATCTTTATGTAAATGGAATCGCTGCAGGTCGTGGGGCAACCTGCTTCATAAATCCTTACGTTTTGGAGAGGTACCCCTATACCCCCGTTGCTGCGGCAGATCCTATCCTCTCATGTTAACTGCAGCGTGGACTCCACAGGAGCAAGCGAGGCTCATTTGTCCTTTCTTTTGCTGAGACAGCTTATTTTTCCTTTTTTTTTTTTTTGCTACAGCAAACATCGGTGCTTCAATAGATATCTTGTGTTGTTTTCTTGAACACCTGTTCCAAAACCTTGGTGGGGGACACCCACGGGCAGCACACACACCCCTTCAGCGTTCCTAGGTGTTGCTAGGTGGTCCCAGAGTACCTCCCAGGGACCGTATTTAAGCGAACTCATTTAGTCCATCCTTACCAGCACTCACTATTTTCAGATTCACTGTTTTTTTCTTTTTTTGGTAGCGGGGATTGAATTCAGGGACTCTGGATCACTGAGCCACATCCCCAGCCCTATTTTGTAGTTTCTTTAGAGACAGGGTCCCAGTGAGTTGCTTAGCGCTCGACATTGCTGAGGCTGGCTTTGAACTCACAGTCATCCTGTCTCAGCCTCCCAAGCTGCTGGGATTACAGGCATGCGCCACCATGCCTGGCTCGTCTTATTTTTGATTTTGAGACAGGGTCTCACTCAGCTGCTGAGGCTGGCCTCGAATTTGCAATGCTCCCACCTCAGGCTCCAGAGTTGCTGGGATTACAGGCATGGGCTACTGCACCCAACCCATTTGTACTCTTTCTGCTGACTAAACAAAGGAAATGCAGCCGTCCTCATGTGTACATCATATGACAAAAGATTTCTCCTCTATCTGGTTGCAGCCTGAAGCTCCCTTGAACTTTGTACACATCTTATTGAACACTTTGTAGATTCCCGTGTTCTCCTTATTAACGGCTTTGCTCAAGAGGTCTCCCTGGAGAAGATGGTGCCAGGGGCATCAGCAACAGCGACCTGCTTCCAGGGGAACACTGTCATTTCACAGGGGCCAGCAGCATGCAAAGGGGTCCCCGCACCTGCTCATCTGAACATTCAGAATGAACCTTTTGCTCAGGTCCAGCCATGAGACAGACACTTCCTCCCTACACGCCAATGTCTTGGGACCCTAACGCTCGCCACTGCACTGCTTGTTGGGTCATTCCCAGGACTGACTCGGGGAGGTGAGGGGTTCACAGAGGCCAGCGCGGCATGAGGCCCAGAGGTCTCCTTCGCATCTTTCGGGTATAGGAAACACCATTTTGGTGTCTACCAGAAGCAGCTTTCCAGGGAGTAGCCCTGACCAGGTGGACATCAGACCTAATTGTCCTTCTGGCCAAGGTGGCAGAATGCCTGAGGCGGGTGCCGGGAGGCAGAGTGACAGCAGCCACCCAGCAACCCAGCGGGCTGCATCCCTCTGCTTACGTACCTGCTTCAAAGAGCAAATGCTTCCTCGCAGAGCCCAGAGGGGTACTGGGCAGCCATCAAGGCCAGTGTCTTGGTGGCTCAGGCTGGGACGAGCAGGGCTTTTTTTTGTGTGTGTGTGTGATACCAGGGACTGAACTCAGGGGCACTCAACCAGTGAGCCACCTCCCCAGCCCTGTTTTGTATTTTATTTAGAGACAGGTCTCCCTGAGGTGCTCAGTGCCTCGCAGTTGCTGAGGAACAAATGATGCTCCTGCCTCAGCCTCCCCAGCTAAACCAGGGCTTCTAATGAAGACCCAGAAAGTTCACAGTCACACTCCCGTGAGGCTTCCCTCTCCAGGTGTTGTTGGTTCCAGAATTCTCTCTGGCTGGGAAATTGGATCTGAAGTTTCAAATGCAGTTGGTCGAAGTTTTGTTTGTTTTCTTCTTAGAAGAACAGTTTAAACCCTGTCCTGAATTAAGGGCTCGCTTAACTCCTAAATACTGGATTCGAATTTAGCACATTGTCTCTTCAGTATTTACTCAGGTCACAGCTATTACTTTTTCAAAATTGGCACCACTATTAGCTTTTTAAATCACTTGCCCATTGTTTACCCGACGGTCCTCTGATTTTCTTTTTTCCGTAACAGGGATTCAACCAGTGGCTTTACCACCAAGTTACATCACCAGACTCTTTTTTTGTTTTCTTAATTTTTAACTTTGAGACAAATTCTCACTAAGTTGCTTAGGGCTTTGCCAAATTGCTGAGGCTGGCCTCAAACTTTCGATACTCCTGTCTCAGCCTCCCAAGTTGCTGGGATTGCAGGAGTGTACCACTTGGCCTGGCTCCTTCCATGGTTTTCTACCACCTGAGACTACTGGATGCCTAGAATCTTCTGGGAGGCGCAGGTGAGGGTGGCACATACATTCCACTGCCCTGTTTGCTGTGCCTGGCTCATCTTACTGAGGTTGGGTAGGTATAGCATACGCAGCAGGGTACCGGTGTCTACAAGTTCGCTCTGAGTGTTTCTGTTTCTGCCTGTATGTCGAATCGCCGCTCACATGTTGTTACTGTGGCGAGCAGGGGCTGGCTCTTCTCAGGACACCTGGGTGCATTCCTCTCAATTCTGCAGTCACTGATGTCACTCTGGCAGCTTGAAATCAGCCATGGTGGGAGTACTTATGCCAAGAAAATTGCCAAACACCAAAAAGTTACCTGGGCAAATGGCAACTCAGGAGCAAGGGTACCTTCAGGCTCTGTGGGTGTTTCTGCCTTTAATTTTTTCCCCCCAGGCATCTACCAGTGAGCATCCCCAGCCCTCTTGTTGGGTACTAGGATTGAACCCAGGGGCGCTTAACCATGGAGTCCTATCCTAGCGCCCCCCTTTTTTTTAAATTTTGAGACAAGGTTTCCCTACTTAGAACCTCCTATTTTGCTGAGGCTGGCTTTGAAATTGTGATCCTCCTGCCTCAGTTTCCCCAGTTTCCAGGATTACAGGCATAAACCACAGCACCCAGCTCTCCCACCACTTTTTATTTCAAGACAGGGTCTTACTAAGTAGCTGCAGCCTGGAAGTTGTGATCCTCCTGCCTCGGCCTCCAGAGTAGCTGGGATTATAGCTGGGCGCTGTCATATCTGGCAGCTTTTTGATTTTTTATCATGTTCATATGGATTTTTTTGAGAGAGCTTTCTCTCTCTTCTCCTCCTCCCTCCTTTTCTCTCCCTTCCTTCCTTGGAGTTTGTATTAATCCCACCAACTAGAAATTGCCTGGGGCCAACTTGGCTGGTTGGGGAAGAGACCAGGGCAGCAGAACTGTGGGGGGAGGATGGAGCAGTGTCCTGGGCTTAGAGCTGGGCTTGGGCAGTGGCAGCCCAAGGACACACAGAGTGCAGCAAGCAGTCCCCTAGAACCTGCTGCCAATTCTGAGTGGGAAGCCAGACTCACGCCAGGTCCTGGGCTGAGAGGTCAGACCCAAACTGCAGTCACCAAATCTCAAGGATCAGGCAGAAAAGTGAGTAGGAAGAGAAGACACCGGAGTGGTGGTGGGGGTCCGGGGAGAGCCGGGAAGAGGGCGTCAGCGTCTACGTGGGGCAGGGAGGCTTGCTGAGGGTCCTGGGACCATTTTCTCACAGTCTGAATAAAGAAAGGGCATGGGTTCTGCCCAGGAGGCAAGAAGGGCTCACCAGGGCCACGAGGAAGCAAATACAAACAGGCTCCCTCTCCCGCCAGCCCAGGGGAGGCTGCGAACTGCAGGAAACAAGTTCAGGGGATGAGCAAATGCTAGGCGGCTTCCAGGAACCTTGTCACCCGAGGACCACCAAAGGCCCTGGTCTGTGTCTGGGGGTGGGAGGAGGGTCCTGATGAGGACTTGGCGTGCCTAGGAAATTCTGAGCCAAGATAATGGAGGCCGCCAGGAAAACCCTCCAAGCTGCGGTGAGGATGGGGAGTGAGGCTGCAAAGCCCTGCCAGGCCCCAGGGATGGGGTGAGGGCAGCGGGAGCATCCCACCCTCCGAGGTAGGAGAGTCTAGGAACCTGGACACAGGGGCATGTACATTTGCCTGGAATGTCCAGGAGGGTGCGGTGGGGGGACGCGGTAGGCTATGGCTAGATGCCAGTCTGACCCTTGGGGCCCAAGACTGCCAGTCCCCCCGACCATGTGGAGCACTCCCTTGAGGTCTGGTGCATGGGGCTGCCCTGCAGCGGGGGATGAACAGCTCCTCGGAGCAGCAGGGGTGTGGTGCCGAGCAGCAAGCCCAACAGGCCGCGCCTTGCTGGACCTGTTTTTTGAACTAGCTGCTCAAGTCCCTTCCCTTTTCAGATAAATCACACATCTCCCAGCACCGCCAGGGGATGTTCACCCTCTTCTAAGGCACTGCAGAGGCCTGACCATGAGAAACCACCACCAGCCTCAGAATGCTGTTGAGCCTCCAGGTTAATCACAGTCAGCCCCAAAGTGTCAGATCAATGACAGGTAAACCAAGTCCGTAGGCTGACGTCCGCTCTCAGCATGTAAATATCAAATTCATGGGGACATCACTAAATTGGAATATCCAGATGCAGTTACTTGGGGAATTGTTTTGTTTTGTTTTGTTTTAGGGTGCTGGGGATTGCAAGGGCGTGTTTTAAGCTTATACATTCCCCAAAACTGTCAGGAAGCCAGCAACTGCTCACGAGGTACCAGAAGAAGGCCCCCGGGGTTCATCACTCATTTCACAAGCCCCAGTATTGAAAAAAAAAAAAAAGGCTTTGAGGAACAGGTAACAAGTGTGGGTCCTTAAATGTAGGAATCAACGGGCAGAGTAGGGAGAAGAGCCATCCAGGAAGAGGGACATGAGCAGGAGGGCATCCTGCGGCAGGCAGCCAAGCATGAAGAAAGACAAGGTAGGCAGAAGTCATGGAGGGCAAAGAGTCTGGACAGACCACACTCTGTCGGTGGATCTATGTCCATACTGTCCACAAGATTCCTCTTAGAATCAGGAGCAAGTTCCCTGTTTTTTTTTTTTTTTGGTACTAAGCATGGAACCCAGGGGTGCTCTACCACTGAGCTGTGTCATTAGCCCTCACTCCTTTTTAAGAATTTTGAGGGGCTAGGGCTGTAGCTCAGTGGTAGAGCTCTTGCCTAGTAGCATGGGTGAGGCACTGGGTTCGATCCTCAGCACCATATAAAAAATAAATAAGTATGATAAAGTTACAAAAAAATTTTTAAAAAAAGAATTTTGAGACAGGGAGCTAGATGCAGTGCCACATGCTTATAATCTCAGTGAAGGAGACTGAGGCAGGAGGATTTCAAGTTCAAGGCCAGCTTCTACAATTTAGCAAGGCCCTAAGCAATTTAGTGAGACTCTGTCTCAAAAATAAAAAAATGAAAAAGGCTGGGAATGAAGCTTGGTGATAAAGTGCCTCTGGGTTCAAGTCTCAATACCTACCCCCCTTTTTATGAGACAGGGTCTAAGTTGCCCAAGCTGGCCTTGAACTTGCCATCTTCTTACCCCAGTTCCCTGAGAGTCTGGGACTATAGGCGTGCACCAACAGCTGTAGCCATGTAGCAGACTGGAATTTTCTACCAGCAAGGTGGTTATTATTGTCATAAATTTCTGGGTTGACAGTTATAATTAAAAAAGAAAAAACCATAAAGCAATTTTAACAGCCCCTAAGTGGGAGCTGGGTCAGACAGCACCGTTACAGATGAGGCTCTTCCCAGCCCTCCTAACCCCGGCACTTACCCTCTTCTTCCTCTTTCACAGATGAGCTGTGGGTATCAGTCAGCACCGCTTCCCAAATCTATGGTGCAAAATTTCACAAGGGCAGGATCAAAGCTTGGGTTCTGGAGCAGGTACCTGTGGTGCATCGAGCTTAGCTTCTCACTGTGTGACCCTGGACAAGTTCCGTCACTTCTCATGCCTTGGTATTCTCATCCATAAAGTGGAGACAAAAGCTCGACTCCCTCCGAGTGTGGTTATGTGGGTTAAATGAATTAGTATTCATAAAGAGCTTGGCTGTAGCATATGCTAAATAAGTGTTTGCTATCATTGTGGGAAGTCTCATTCCATTCTTAGAGCCCACTGAGATCAAAGCAACCGCTGTGTGTCTGTTCTCTCTCCTTTAAAGGGAAGAAAAACACCCTGACCCCCAGGGAACTTCTGGAACACATGTGAGAGGGAGTGGAGGGCAAGCGGGAGAGTAGTGGTTAAGGCCAGGTCTCCAGATTCTAAGCCTGAGCAAGAATACGATGGAAGGGTAAGTGGAGGGCCAGGGCAGCTGAGGACAAAAGGACAGCAAACAAGAAGCTGGTGGGTACAACTGTTCAACTCTTTGTGACAGACAGTGGATGTCTGCCTCCCGTGGGAATTGGGTCTGCGAGCCATTCAGCAGGCATCTGCGCATGGGTTGTCTTTCCACTCGGAGTCCTCCCGGCTGGGCTGGCCAGGGAGGGCAGGGGGAAACCACGTGAAACCACCAGAGCAGGGCAAAGGAAGAAGCCAGATGCCTTCATTGTGGGAACTGCCTTGCATCCTGCTTCTAAGAGGGTCTAAGGAGGCCCTGCTTGTTCATTCAACATGGGGCAGGGGCAGTGGATGAGGCGCTGCAGGCACCTGGGCGGGGGATGGGGTGGGTGAAGGCGATGGGGACAGTGCTAGGTCTTAGCTAAGGCTCTGCCTCGGTTTCTGGAATCTTCCACCAATTCCACAGGGGCAAAGGACATCTGTGAGCGGGAGGGAACCCAGCTGCGCTGGATTTCCCACGCCAGGCCTCTGGGAGTAGGGGTGAAGGCTCCCCAGCTTCTGAGCAAATAAAAGGCTTGAGGAGAGAGGGGCCTAGTCACAGGGGACACCTGGGAGAGCCAGCGAAGCTGACAAAAAAAAAAAAAAAAAAGACGGCGCGGGAGGAAGCAGCCTGCAGGCCTCGGTTCCTGCTCAAGAAAAATAATAATCCCCAGGGACCGGGTGGTGGAGGGAGGACTCGGCTGAACCGGCTGAACCGCAGGAAGCCGGCCCTCAGGACGGAAGGGGCCACCCCTGCCTCCGCCCCCAGCAGGGGTCTGAGTGTCCCTCACCTCCCGATCCCGGAGGTCTGAGAGCCACCTCCTACCGGCAGTGGAAAGGAGTCCGCCCAGGAGAAGTCACCTTCCTAACTCGGGGCCCCTTTCCTGTGCGAAGATGCCCCCATAGCCCGTCCTCAGCCCGGAGGCCATCCTGATGGCCTGGCTTCTCGGCCGCTTACGTAGCCGCACTCAGGAGCCAACAGTGCGTTTCTGACACTTTTTCCGCCAACATGCGGGTTAATAGCCAGGGGGCTCCCAGGAATGCACAGTGGCTGAGCGGAGACACACACTGAATTCTACTCAGCGCTGGCAGACGGGGCCAAGGGCGCACAATCTCCATGCGGCATATGGGAACCAAGGGCCCCGTGCCTGCCCCAGGGAGTGACGCGGGTCTCCGGGTGTGCCCTCAATCTGTGAAATACCCCCCCCCATTTCCCCACAGTCCCTTCTTGGTCCACCTCCCCTGACTTCCTGACAGCGAGGAGGGGCTTGGGGGGGTCACGGAGGAGACCCCCGAGCGCTGCTACTTTTTGCCTGAAAGTGTGTTCATTTTCCCGTGCGGATGGGCGCTGTATCAACAAGGAGCTGCCCTCGCGCCACGAACACGCGGTCATCTCCCGGCAAGCGAGCTCTCTCCGCGGTCTGCCCGGTGTCCAAACGCCAGACGGCGCGGTCAGCCCCTAAGGGAGAGCTTGAAACCCTTCTGCACCCCCGAGGCGACCCCCGCTCTAAGGAAGTGCAATCTTGGGGGGCGGGGGCTGGGAGACCCGCAACGCGGACTGCGCCTTCGCCAAATACCCCGGCGCGCAGGTCCGGGTGATGACCAACTTTGCGCACAAGTGTGGGGCTGAGGCCACAAGTCCTGGAGACGCGGACAAGGGTGGAAGGGACAAAGCGACGGGCCTGGGAGGGCTTGGTTCTCCAGAAGAGGAGTCGGGGCCTGCTCTGGGCGCGGGAGACCGGGGGCGGGGAGGCGGCTCCTCCATGCTCCAATTGAGCCCTGGAAAAACCCGGGCGCGCAGGGAGGAGGCGGGCAGGCGCGCAGGCAGGCCAGGGACGGCGGGAACAAAGGCGGCCGGCGGCCGGATGCAGTCATGGAAAAACCCATCGAGGCGCTGGCGCGGGGGCGGCGCGAGCCCGGCAGCAATACCACCCTAGCCGGATGGCCCGGGCGGGGCTGCTCTCGGCCTCCGCCCCGGGGCGCGCCGCGCGGAGCAAAGGGGAGGCCCCCGGAGCAGGAAAAATGTCGGGCGGGAAAGGAATATGGGTCCCCGCGCCCCAGATGCCGCGCGTCTCACGTATTCCGCGCCACGAGCGGCAGGCGGCCTGGGTTAGTACACGCGGGGCACACGCAGCACTGCGCATGGCCACCTGGCTGCTGAACGCAGCTGCCGGAGCCTGTCGCGGCCCGCGCCGGCGACAGCCCCAAGATGACGCGTGCGCGGTGGCGAGTTCAGCCCGCACACACTCCTGCACACACATGATCACTTGCACGCACGTGCGCCCAGACACGCGAGCTACACACAGCTCCCAGGGCTCTGAGAAGGAGACGGTTGGATTGCGGGGCGGGGGGGCTAGGAGGGGGAGCCGAAATGGAGGCTCGTTAGGGCGGGGCCCCGGGGCTCCGTGGAGAACTTCAGAAGGGTGGGGGGAGGCAGGGACCTTTGGGGAAGCAGTGGTTAGGCCCGCCCGGGGTTAGCAGGTGCGGGTACCGGGCCTGGGGGGTCGGGGTGGGGCAGACGTGCCCGGGTCCTGCCCGCCCCAGGGCTAGAGTTTCCCTCCAGCGCAGGTCGCTGCCCAGCCTCGCCTGGTCTTGTAAGTTGCACATGTGGCTGAGGACGGGTAGGTGGCACAACGGGTTTTTCTGTAGAAAAGGAAAGTGTTGGCGCAAGAGGACCCAGTGACTCTATGACTTTTCCAGTTCTGACTTTTTATGAAGGAGGAGGAACTGGGCCCAGAGGCCATAAAAGGAGTTGGTGGGAGCTGGCACAGCCTCTTCCTGGTTCAAATGTCCTTTTGTTTCCTTGTGCTGCCGCGTGGTGTGCAAGGAGTAAAACCCGACCCTCGGGGTCCCTGGGTTGGGAAAGGGTTGTAGGGTAGAACATGGTCACGGTGGCCCAGAGCCAGTCTGTGGGAACAGGAGCCATCCACTCTGCCCAGGTGGGTGTTGAGATGGGTAGTGAGTGGGGTGGGGTGAGGGTCCCTGGAAGTCAGAGGCAAGAAGCCCAAGACTTAAAAAGGTTTCAGGTTCAAGAAGAAGCCCGATAGGCTGGGGAGTGGGGTGGGGACAGCCTAGCAGAGAAAATAACTGTGGCCGTGTTTCAATGCAAAGTCAACAGGGAAGGGTCACCAGTGACCCCACAGAGTGAAATTAACTGGTATCTACTTGTGATACCTTGGCGACTGACCTTGGAATCAGATGAAACTTTTTGCTTGTCCCTCTTCTGATCTTATCCATCCTTTGGCCTCAAGTTCCTCATCTGTAAAATGGGAGCAAGAGCTCCTCCACAGTGCTGTTTTGGTAATTGAAAGTGGATATAGGGGGCTGGGATGTGGCTCAAGCGGTAGCGCGCTCGCCTAGCATGCGTGCGGCCCGGGTTCGATCCTCAGCAGCACCACATACCAACAAAGATGTGTCCGCCGAGAACTAAGAAAAAATAAATAAATGTTAAAATTCTCTCTCTCTCTCTCTGTCCCCCTCTCTCACTTTCTAAAAAAAAAAAAAAAAAAAAAAAAAAAAGTGTAAAAATTCCCCCCCTCCCCCCCGGCCCCCCCCCCCCACTTTCTAAAAAAAAAAAAAAAAAAAAAAAGAAAGTGGATATAAGTTCCCTTTCCATCCTGCCCTTCCTCCCGGTGGGACAGAGATCAACTCGCACCGTTGCCCAACATCTCTCCCTTCCTTGCAGTTTCTCAAAGTCTTGAGTGGTTGCTCCTTAGGACTCCTAAAACCTGGGTTTCTTGCTAGCAGATGGGAAGGTCCCGTGCGAGGAAGATTGGGGGAGCAGCACCCCCTGGTGGCCAGTTCCTAACCTGCTGGGTAGCTTCTTGGCTGCTGGTATGTCAAGGTTCTTTTCTTCTGCGGTAGTTTCTCCCTGTGTTTAGGGAGCAGAGAGACGGCTGGTTCCCCCAGGAGCATCTCCTGGGCTGTCTCCCGACCAGCTTCCTTCACTTCAACAGGCTTCTCTCACTTCTGCCATGGAGGAATCAACAAACTTGCTATTTATACTGTGCTTTGTAATTTACAGAGCCCACTGACACACAACGCTTGTCCTGAGGTGATTCTGGGTGGTTGGTAGCTGCCTCCTTGGAGAGGGGATCTTGGTTCCCAGCGTCGCTCAGGGTTGCTTTGAATTCCATTCAGCTGTGTAACTAGGGCAACATCCAAAATATTGAATAACTACTAGATAGATAGGCATCAGCCAACCAGAACAGAGCCTGCTGTAAACACCAGGTGCTGCTGAATCTCTTGTACCTGCCGAAGGTTCTGGAATAACCTTAGCCTCCCTGGGCCTCAGTTTTTCCATCTGCAGAATGGGGATGGGGATGGTCATGGTACCACTTTCTAGGTAGTACTATGAAGTCTAATTAAGTTAATGCACTAAGGGCTTGCCAAATCTGTCAGGCACATAAGTAGCGCCCCATCAATGTGAGTTTCAGTACTTGTCCTGCCTCCTGTCTGTGAGAGGTGAGTCACTTCTCAGACTCAGTGACTCAGGGTGATTGCCACTTTAAAGGGAGAGTCCCCAGCTGAGCCCACTGTGTGTTCACAGGGCTCATCTCCTGCTTCCCACGCCTCCTTTTCGGCTCCTCCCTGTTCCCCCTTAAGAGGCCTCCTCTTTCCCATGGCACCCACTACCCCTAGCCCTGGAAGTACTACTACTTCTTCTTCTTCTTCTTCTTTTTTTTTTTTATAAT